CCAGCTACTTGGGAGGCTGAGGCAAGAGAATCACCTAAGACCAAGAGTTAGAGGTTGCTGTGAGCTGTGTGACGCCACGGCATTCTACCGAGGGTGATAAAGTGAGACTCTGTCTCTATAAACCAATAAGTAAAAAATAAAAAATAAAAAGTTCTACATTTTGATATTGCCATGTAAGAACTATCTTTTCTCTGAAATCTTCTAAGTCTCTAGACTTAAGAAGTGCTCTAATGCCCATATGTATTATTTTCTAGATTTTTACAGATACATGTTATTGTTTTATTTGCTACATTTAAGTGTTCAGCATCTGGAAATTATTTTTCTAAATGTGTGATGTAGGCATAAATTCTCTTTTAAATGGGTAGTCAGTTGTACCAGCAGATTAAAGAGGTTATCCTTTTCTCAGTTAAAATAATATCTTAATACTACAAGATATTATTAAATTGCCTTAAACGTTTACATAGTTTAGAAAATGTTTCTGGCTTCTTTCTTTAGTTCTCCTGATCTATTTGTCTTTTTCTATGCCAATACCATATTGGTTTGATTATTATGGTTTTAAGGTTGGTATATCTTCTTATATTTGGAGATCAGAGTTATTCTTCGTTATTTTTCTTTTTCACAGCTTTCGATTTTCTTACATTATTATAACAAATAACCAAGTGGGATTCTAACTGAAATTATATAAGATTATAAACTAATTTTGGAAGAATCGATATTTTCTGGTGTTATGTTCCCATTTAACTTTGATGTTTTTCTATTTGTTCATCTCTTCTTTGTTTAGATTTTATGCCTTTCTTATGCATGATTCTGTGTCATTATTTTTGTCATTATGTTAATGTAGTTTTTAGGATAGACAAAAACTGTTTATTTTTATTTCACCAGAATATGACCACAACACTTGATTCTTTTATTAATTCTTGTGTAATTTTAATATATTCTCGTGTATTATTTTGGTGTCCAAATACAAAATAGGCAAAACAGATATTTTTATGTTTTGCTTTCCATTTAATAGCAATTATTTTATTTTGCTGTATCATTCCAATTTTAGTATATGTCCTGCTGAAGTGAGCACTTATTTTACTGTATTCAATAGGCACATCATTATTAAATAATAATTATGATAGAGGCATCTCTATTTCCGTTTGGATAATATTTGCTGGTTTTAATTTTTGTAAATATTCTTTATTACATTTAAATTGTATTCTTCAATTTCCATTAAATGTAGAATTCTCATTCATTAGGAATAGCTCTTTAATTTTATCTGAATCTATTGATATAAATACATTATATTCTCTGATAATTTTTTTAATGTAGGAGATTATGTTAGTGGTTTTCTGAAACTGAATAATCCTTGCAATCATTGAATATACTTATTTGGTCTTAATGTATTATCCTTCAAAAGCATTGCTGGATTCTCTTTGTTATTATTTTATTTGATTATATATATTTATGATAGAAATTAATTGCTCTATTTTTGCTTTTGTAGAATTTTGATGTTTTGGTATTAAAGTTATATGGATTTATGAAGTAAAAGGAAAGATATCATCTACATCTATGATATGAAATATTTTTAATAGTATTAAAATTATCATTTTTTTTGTTATATAAGAAGTGTAATTTTAATCTGGTATTCATACCATCTTTTATAGAAATTTTTTATTTCAGAACAGTTTTAGAGTTTTAGGAAAATTATGAAGTACAGAGAGCTTATACCCCATACCCAGTTTTTCCTATTTAAATATTTTATATTAGCATAGCATATTTACTATAAATAATGAAAAAATATTGATACATTATTAACTAAATTCTACTTTATTTTATTCTGGTGTGAACCTGTAGGGAGAAATGCAAAGAACCCCAATTTTGAAGTTAAATAAATCTCAATGCAAACATCCCGTCTATCTCTTACTGTGGAAATGGTAGTATACTGTGGTTAATTAACATTAAAATGGTTTTGCAGGAATTGAGAGATGCTGAACCAAATTCTTTTTTTTTTTTTTTTTTTTTTTTTGTAGAGACAGAGTCTCACTTTCGCCCTTGGTAGAGTGCAGTGGAGTCGCTCCAGCAACCTCCAACTCCTGGGCTTAGGTGATTCTTCTGCCTCAGCCTCCCAAGTAGCTGGGACTCTGAACCAAATTCTTTATTTTGTGTTTATATGTAATTAAAATTTTGTGTTAACACATCTTTTTTAGCAGCACATTCATTCCAGACTATTGACTATTAAATATTTGCCACAATAACATTTTCTCACTTAAAAATACAAGGTATCTTAAAGATCTTCCCTAATTTTGTCCTATATAGGGAAAATAGGAAATTGTAGCTAAACGTACCTTTAATTACAAAATATTCATTACGAAATTTTACAAAATTTTCTATATATGTTGGCCACCTCTTTGTAAAATTTCATAATGAATATTTTATAAATAAATGTACATATAGGTACAGTTTCCCATTTTTTCCTAAGTTTGGCAACTGTAGGGAAGAACTTTGGGACACCCTGTATTTTCCAGTCTTGAAATACTGTGCACCATTCTATTCACTGAACCATAGCAAGTAAATAATATCCGGGAAATACACAGAGAATAACAGCCACGGTGATCAAGGAAATAGAGATTTTTATACTGTAAACTTTAAAAAAGATTCTTTGCTAAAATGCAGAATTCTGAGAGACTGAGTATTACAAAATTATGAAGAGTCTGTAGGTTGTACTTTACTACAGTAGTGTGATACTTTTATTTTTTATTAAAAATTTTTTTTTTTCAGTGGTGCGATATTTGGATACTACCTGGCCAGAAGATCCAGAAACACTGGCGTCCCACCACTGATTAGCTACCCTCTTCTGCGAAGTCCTTGAAGAAAGAACATTCACAGGGTTGGCAGGCAATGTAAAGGATTGCTAGCTGGTATCTGAGTCATGAACTTCTCTTCTGAGATTTGTAAATGAACTAGGAGAGAACCTATGAAGAACTCCTTTTGTCTAGGATTTAAGTTCAGTGGCCAAAAAATCAAACCAGACAGAAAGCATATGAAACCCACATTACCACTTCCATTTCCAATCTCAAACCCAAATATCCAAGGTAAGAGTAATCTAGGCTGCTATAGGAGTGAATGAGAAAGGAGGAAGGGAGTCTGCATCAGTGCCTACAGCAAATACAGCCTAGACCTGAATTTGTTCTCTGGATTGATATACTTGTTTGGATGGTCAAGGGCAAATGACCACCTGAAAGAATATCCAACAGGAGGTTAATTTACAAGCATCACTGGATTATTCTCCAAAGCATATTGATTTCCCCCTTTTTATTTCTGTGACTTTTTTCTTCCCAATATGTCATAGTACATGTATGCTAGATCTTCGGTATGCAAAACCGGTATGCAAAACCAGTATGCAAAACTGTTTTGGTGACAGCCTGGAAAATAACGTTAAGAAAACTATAATGGTTTCTGCAAGAATGTAGGGAGACTTGGAGTCAGTGAGAAAGGATCATTAATTAGTATTTAGTTTTTGAGATACTTACAAAGAGGTTTCCGAAATACTGCAATATTTGTTTCTTACCATTTTATGCGCCTCTCATTTTATTATATTATGTCTTGTTCCTCATTTGATAGAAAATACCTGAGGACAGGGACTTTTCTTCTATCTTCATATCCCCAAATCTTAGCAGGGTATGGAACCTAGAGTATAAACCAATAAGTGTTTTCTTTTAAGTAAATAAAGAGGTATTCGGCTAGTTATTGAATAGGAAAAATGATATTGTATTACAGATACATCTTTTTACTTAAGATTAAAGCTGTTCAGAATCTGGACAGGAAAAAACAGCCTGGGACAAGTAGAGGTGGATTTTGACATGAAGTCCTTAAGATCTAAGGGGAAGCCACGTTCCTTTTGCTCAAAAGTCCCACTGGTTTAGCGGAGTGGAGTGGATTTTCTTAATGCCTTGGCTTTGTTTTATAAACAGAGAGACGAAACGATATTGCTGTTGCCTTGCGTCTGTCAGCAGAAGCCGCTTTTAGTCATTTACACTTGCTTGGTTGGCTTCAGCTAGTGAGCTCGTCCTCTCCTTTCTCCAGTTCCGTTTCTTACCAACGCTCCGCCCCATGGTGGAGCATACAGTGCAAACTCTCTCAGCACGAGTTTGCACTATATGTGGGATAAGATCAAAGGTGCTTTTTGCTCTGTGGGCGCGCACGTACCAAAGCAGGAGCGGGGGGCCTTGTTGAGCCCAGGCTCTGCTTGGCGCTACTGCTTTTTTTCTTAGTTTTTGCTAAATCTCTTCGTAGCTGCCTCACGGATTTATACAGCAAGTGGATCAAGGTCAGCTTATTCCCCGCACCTCTTTTAATACATTTGCTAGGGCTCTCTGGCACAGCGAACAGTTCAGGACCTAAACAGGTTGCAACAGACAGAAAAGATCCCGCCTCCTCCTGAGCACGCGGAGGGAGGGGCGAGGTAGGGCGTGGCGGGGCGGGGCTACGGCGAGGGGCGTGAATAAGGGAATGAGTCGAGGCTCGGTGTGCGCATGCTCGGAGAGCGGGCCGAGGAAGGTAGCGCCGCCAACTCTCTTCCTCAGAGTCTGGCCGGCTTCCTCCTCAGGATTCCGGGACGGAAGGAAATGGGTGGGGCCAGAGCCGGAAGCGCCGGGGCGGACACCTGCTCCCTAAGTCTTTTCACGGAGGAGCGTCTCAGCCTTTCGCTAGGGAACAGATGATTGTGTGGGAGGTCTAACGTCTGGTCACCTTTCCAGTTTACCTCAGGGCTAGAAGTCGGCTTGAGGGAAATCCGACACCAATGATTTAGGGAAGTTCCACTATTTAGGGAAGTTCTTCCAGGGCCTCCTCAGACCAGTGTCTGCTTCCTTTTGCTCCACACCAAATCCTTTTGCCACCTCTGTCTTGTTTTTATCCCTTTTCAGCGCTCCACCCAGCCCCAGCGGTCTCTGACAGCATGTACGATCGGGCTCCCCGCTTGCTCAGGTTGTCTGAAGGTGGCAGCACTGAGGCCCATGTGGGTCCTGGGTCCTACCAGGTTCCCCTCCTGAAAGAGCAGGTGACAGGTAAGATGCAGGGCACCGCGAGCCTCAGACAGGCACCTCGTGTTCAGGCTGCTCACTTCTGTGGACCTGTGTATTTAAACATGAAGCTCCGTTAAGTATAACAAACCAGGAAGTAGTCAGGGAAGACGCAATCTTTATTGCACAGGTGAGAACTGATAATATCACACTGGTAAGCATAAAGCCAGGACTTTGGATTCTACAAGAGTTGTCTAGATCATAATTTTGATTGTACAGTTTAGATACAGAGTTTTGGTTTCCTGGCCCCCTTGACTATGAATCTTCACATCCTCTGTACTTCTTACCTCCTGATGTCTCTTCTTTGTAATGCTATCCGCCTGACAGAACTTTCAGAGAGACATGTATTTACTGAGATAAAACTTACATTTCTATCTTGCAATAGCTTTAAAGGTAGTCCTGTCGATTTTTCAGGCAGATGTTACTGCCTGAAATCTGACCACCTCGATCTTGTCTTTGAACATACTTTGTGAGAGCTCCCTTTCCCCCACATTCTGTAATGAAAAGCTATATTCGTGAAAAGTGGTATGGGGAGAGATCATTTCAATAATTATTTGCTTTCATTTGTTTTCAGCTAGTGGCTTAGGCAAAACTTTTAATAAATACTTCAAATTTTCCTTCTACTTTCTTTCTGATGATTTTCTAGAGCTTACTAACATCCAAATGACTGTTTTTCATAACCTGAATTTTCCCTTTACTTATATTATGTGTTTTTAAGCAAATACTAGTATCTGCTACTCTGCTGTTAGCAGGTCATGGTATCAACAACAACATATTCTCCTGGTTCTTTTTCAAACTATTGTCTTGGAAGAGTGTCTGACAGGATTGGAACCTAACCAACAATTATTAAGTGTTAAGTCATTTTCACCTCCTTTCCAAAAAAAATCATTCATAGTATTCTTCAAAAGTTTCTGCTTTTCCAAACACTATTTAAATATACTATACTTAATATCCTTTGTTGTTTTTTATGTGTAATTTTTCATTTATAAAAATAGCTTCAACTACAGTCCGTATTCTGATTCTGATGACTCCTGGAAAAAAGTCTTTAGAGATAAAGTTGATTTATGTATCTAAATGAGGTTTCTCCTCCCTCAAAGGCCTTCTTGCCAGTTACATTTTTGGACATCTCTATCTGGATACTCTCTGGTACTTGAAGTTTTAAGTGTTAGAACTTAAAATTTTCTCCACCAATACTGTCCCCTTTTCTTTTTCCTTTTTTTCAATTTATAAGGAACAAAATTTATTTTCACAGTTCTGAAGGCTGGATAAGTTCAAAAATCAAAGTGCCGTAGATTTAGTGTCTGATAAGAGCTGCTCTTGGCTTCTGAGATGGCAAGTTCTTGCTGCATCCTCACATGGCAGAAGAGATCTACTGTCCCCTTTTCAAAAATTCCTTATCATTCTTTTCTTCCTGACCACTCTCTCTGATCATTGAGACCTAATGATTGTATCCTCTCAATGTCTCTCTATCTGGTCCCTCTTTTCCATTTAACTGCACTTGACTTAGTTAAACCCTCATTTCTATTCTGAATTAAAATAATAAAATATTGTTTCCCTTTTTTCAGTCTCCATCTTCTGGCAGAAGATGGCTAGAGTGATCTTTCTAATATATAATTATTTTGTATAAAACAAAACCTTTGTTACATTCAAGGTTGAAATCTGAACACCTTAATATGGTGAATAACTTTCTTTCATATTCTGATCCCTGACATGATCTCCCACATTAAATGATCTTTCCAGGCACCCACACGTTCAGCTACACTTGACCTACATTTCAGCAATTCTAGCTTTACAGTTTTCTCACATTCATGCTCACTCACTTCTATGCCTTTGAACCTGCTAATCCCTTTGCCCGGTGTGCTTTGTCTTCCTTCTTATCTAATTCCTATTTATTCTTTGAGACAGAGCTAAAGTGAAGTTCTCTGACTTTAGTATTTATCAGGTTTATCTTCTATGACTGCTTAATGACTCGGTTATAGAATTTTGATTCTATATTGTAATTAATGTTAATTTATCTGGCATCTCTACTAAAATGTGAGCTGCTTGAGGGCAGTAACCCTGATGTTTACTCCATTAGTCTAAGTTTTTAGCTCAATACTATAACATAAATACTCAGTTAAGGCAGTGCCTGTGGCTCAGTGAGTAGGGCGCCGCCCCATATACCAAGGGTGGCTGGTTCGTACCTGGCCCCTGCCAAATTGCACAAAAAATAGCTGGGTGTTGTGGTGGGCGCCTATAGTCCCAGCTATTTGGAAGGGTGAGGCAAAAGAATCACCTAAGCCTAAGAGCTGGAGGTTGCTGTGAGCTATGACATCACAGTACTCTACTGAGGGCAACAAAGTGAGACTCTGTTTCTAAAAATAAATAAATACTCAGTTAAAAACAAATAGTAATCTTGAAATAAAGTTAAAATCTGATGATTCATGTGTAACAGAATTTAGAACTCTTATAACTTGTGTTAGCTCTGCTAACAGGGCAGTAACTCGGGTGTGGCAAGGCCTTTCTTTACTATTTTATATGATTGTGTATTGTTGACATATGAGGGAAACTAGGAAATTTCATGCTTGGGTATTTTGAGTAACTGCATTCTACAATTACAGTTGCAGTTACCCCTGCTCTAGATTCTACCTCACTAGTCTTTAAGTCCAATAACACATTAGATTACAGGGGTCCTTAAACTTTTTAAACAGGGGGCCACTTCACTGTCCCTCAGTCCATTGGAGGGCCTGGATTGTGGGCCCTGGGACGAGTCGGCTGCTAAGCAGGAAAGGCAGTGGCGGCAAGATAAATGTCCTAGGCAGGCCGCATATGGCCTGTGGGCCGTAGTTTGAGGAGGCCTGTATTAGAATGTGTAGAAGTATATAGTGTTATTTGAGTTAAAGGTGGGGTACATTTTATAGAGTATGCTGTGGGAAGAACAGGTGTTAGGACTTTATATAATTCACTTGTTACCTTGAACTTCATAAGAAGAGGGGCCTTAGATATAGATATTTATTCCCATCCTTTCTCCTAACCACCACTCTTCTTTCACTACAGCCTACTTGGTTAATCCTCCAGTGCAGTGTCCCCATATTCTTTATACCTTAATTTGAAACTTCCATTTCTTAGGCTTCAGGATGTTTTATCAGGGAGAATCTCTTATACCCAGGATTTGCAAACCAAAAGGCACACCCAAATTCCAGATTTGTGAGAGTTGTGCCTGATTTTCTCAGAATTGTCTGAGAAACCAATATCTTTTCCTTATAAAAGCAAATTTTCCCTACAGACAAACTAGCCTAGTATAGTATAATGTGATTAAAACACACTCTTTTTAATAATATGACTGCATCTGGCATTTTTTTGCTAAAGCTCATTACTTTTTGAGCTTACCTACTTAATAAGTGGTGACCCACATTAACTGTATATTAGTTATCTATATTGGTTCTCTGTTAGTTATATAAGCTGGATCACATCATTTGCTAAATATATTCTTTCCCAGATTCCTTCTTTGATAGGGAGTAGTTAACTTTATCTGCCACGGAAGAATTCAGATTATCAAGATTTTTTTTTTGAGACAGAGTCTTACTATGTCACCCTTGGGAAAGTGCTGTGGCATCACAGCTCACAGCAACCTCAAACTCTTGGGCTTAAGTGATTCTTTTGCCTCAGCTTCCCAAGTAGCTGGGACTACAGGCACCCACCTTAACACCATATTTTGTTGTTGTTGCAGTTGTTGTTGTTTAGCTGGCTCAGGGCCAGGTTTGTATAGCCAGCCTCGGTGTATGTGACCGGTGCTGTGACCACTGTGCTACGGGTGCCGAGCCCAGATTATCAAGATTTTTGCTATACTGATTATCAGTATAAATTCCTACAGTTGCACATATTTGGTGTACAAGATTTAGGGTACAAGTTTTAAGTCCTTACATTTTTAATTATCTGTTTAATATGCTGCTTTATTCCCTTCCATCTCTTCTTTAATATCCATGTTGCTTAAACTGTATTAATTTTCTCAATATTGTTCTTCATATTTTTGGTCAGTCTTTCAGTAGACTACCCAAGTTTATATAATCATATGATTGCTTGTTCCAGTGAAATTTGTGTCTTGGATTTGTAAGTCTTTGTTTAGGGTTGGCAGTCAAGAAATGTTTGCTGAGTACCAACTCTGTGTCAAGGCAAGGAGACATTATCAGTTACCTCCTGTAAACTCACTTTAAATTCTTTCCATCTAGGCTGTCTTTATAAATTTATATATACTATTTTCTACAAATAATATATGATATTTCAAAATATAAAACAGTGGTCTTCTGAAGATGAAAATGTGTTAGCTAGATCTAGCTGCCATTTTCATTCTAACCAAACATGATTAGAAGACAAAACACTTTTCTTTTCTTCAGGTATTTTTTTGTTGTTGTTTAATAAGTCCAGTTCTTTAGGTTCTTAACTTTAATGTATATTAATAAAAATTCTGATATTATATCATATTTTAAGAAATATGATACCTTCTAGCCATTAGTTATAAAAATATAGTTTCAAAAATTGAGATTACCACATGATTATATATATTTTGAATGTATTTCCTGAAATCCATGAAATCCTATTTTTTATCTGCCAGTGATATGATCTTATTTTTATAGGTGGTTATGCACCATTTCTTTCTTTGACTGCCAGACAAAGTACTTTTACTACTTTTCCTGTTGCCTCTAACATTGAGGAAGTGGTTCCAGGTCCAGGACACTATAATGTTTCAGAAGCACAGGTAAATTTATAGTTATTATAAATACCTGAGCTAATAAAAATTATGTTTTCTTCCTGTAATAGCTAAAACAGCGTTTGTTGCATTTGTCTACTCATATTATCTCTTTTCTTTTTCAATCTATATTTTATAATTTGAATAATAGGAAATACATGTATTTGATGTTGGTTATATGAATAGGTGTTTTCATTATTGTATACTATGAGACACAAACCATTGTTTGTAAATTGCATGTTCCTGGAAGATGAGAACTATGAATCATGAATTTGGAATGAATGAATGATGATTCATGAAAGTTATGAATATGGTTAAGATATATAGAAGAGAGACAGCAATAGAATGAAGGAATTCTTTTTTGTGCCATACTCTAGAGCAGTGGTTTTCAACCTGTGGGTCGTGGCCCCTTTGTAACAATGAAAATACATCCTGCATATCAGATATTTACATTACAATTCAAAACAGTAGTGAAATTACAGTTATGAAGTATTAACAAAAATAATTTTATTTTTGTTTAGTTGAGGGTCACTACAACATGAGGAACTATATTAAAGGGTCGTGGTAACAAAAATAATTTTATTATTGTTTAGTTGAGGGTCACTACAACATGAGGAACTGTATTAAAGGGTCATGGCATTAGGAGACATCAGGAAGATTGAGAACCACTGCTCTAGAGCTATAGTCATTGCCATTGTTCTGCATGGTCTCAAGAGTTTGTGACCAGAATAGCTTCAATGGTCCATTCATGTTCAGAAATAGTGGATATAACTCCAATATCTTCACAATTATGAATATCATTTTTTATGATTTTCACACAAATTTTGCATTCATACATATTGGCTCCTAGTTGGCCCCAGTAGCCCTTTAACTCCCTTCCCTGTTGGCATCTGTATAAAGTCTTTGTTGAAGTGTTCAGTATAAATTCAAATTGCATTTTCTTTTTTATAATCATAGAGCCTACAGTAATGGCTTTCAAAGAATAAAAATTTGAACAGTCTTTTCTCATCATTTTATTTTGGTTCAACTTCTTTTTTGATAGGGAAGCAAAAATGTTATTTTATGAAAGAATTTTGTTCATCTCATTTACAGGAAGGAAATGGCTTCAGAGGAGCTTTTTCATAAAGGTTCTAAAAGTCATGAATGGTATTTCAGAAATAGGAGAGAAAATTTTTGTTTTTAGCTGCAAAATACATAAAATATTATGAAACCATGACTTAACATAAAATGTACCTACTTCTTTTATTGCCCAGCTTTTAAATATTTACCAGAGAAATCATTAGAATTATTTTTATAGATCCAAAGTCTTTAATCTAGAAATTCAGAGCTTATTAAGACAGCAATTAAGTAGTGAATTATTTAAAGATAAAATTTACAAAGAAGACCTTCTTTGTGTATTTCTTAAAAACTAAATGAATCTGAATAAGATGCATGATACAAATAGGCTCTGTTAGTAGTTATTGTGAACAGCTTACAGGTGAAAAGGCTGTTGGTAAATCAATGACTTTTAAGAGAATCTTAGCTGATCCCTCAAATGCCATTGCTATTATTATGATTAATTATTGAAATGATTGCCCTATGACTATTTATGGGAACTTATACAATGGAATTTTATCTGAATTAACTGGTAAATAGTTGATAATTTTCTGATTTTGGAGATTCCAGATATGTGGCATTGGAAGGCAATGGAAGATTTTTCCTACTGTTTTCTCGGCAGTACACAATGTTTAAAATTAATCTGAACATAAAACAAGCTCTTGCCAATAAGCCTACATTAAGTTCTCTAGAAATGACCAAAATGTTATTTGTGAAAATAATTTGTCATAAACAAGCTTGGAAGACTTGCTTTCTCCCTGCAGTGTGAATGCCAGCATTTTTTAAAGTTTATTTCAGGTGTACAGATTTTCCAGGGGCCTGAAAACCATACTGTTTATTCTTGTTCTACAGCTTCAGGAATTCCTATTTTAAAATATAAATTTTCTTGTATTCTCTCAGATAATTCCAAATATAGTAAATTTCAGTTTTGGTTCAAAGTTAAAACTGATAACTATAACATCATCCTCTCTTATTAACCTCTTTTATTAGAATTATGTCTTCAGTCAAGGGTTTTGACTTTCTCAGGTTGGGTTTAAAATTATTTTTTCATAATAATTAATATTTATCAAATAGGAATCAATTATAAAGTGGTTTGTTTAGTTGTTTCACAAGATTTTTTCTCTCAAACTTAGTGTAATATAAAGGGAGGCCATAGTCTACAAAACCGGGAAGAACGTTTTAAGAAGTTTATTTCAAGTAATCCAGGACCTGCAAGCTATGATCAGTCTTATCCTAAAGCACTAGATATGAACAGAAAAGTGCTGGAGTCCAAAGAACATCTTAAATCAGTATGTTTCTCTTTTTAATTATGTTTCTAATAAGTTCTTTTAGTTAAAATAGAAAAAGTTTAATATTTTATGTGATATTAAGTACATTTAAAAAGCCTTATTATAAAGGTAGATATGTTGGTATCTATAGTGTGGTCAGTTTATAATTAAATCCACTTTAGTTTTTAACTATGTTAGCATCCAAGTTCAATTTTGCTCTTACTAAATCTATAATCACATCCAATGTTTAGAGTGAGTAGGAAGTAAGGGAAATTATAAAACCACCTGAGTGGTTTTCTATATAAAAGAAAATAGTGTTAAGTACTGTTCATAATATAATGGAATTAAAAACATGACTTCCTGAAATAAAAATGCCTAAAATTTAGGTGGAAGAGAGAGATATAGGTAGCTGTTAATGCAAGACAAAAATGTAACAGGTGCTAAATGAATGATCATGTAAATAAACACCATTAAGAATTTAAAGGAGGACTATTGTATTATGCAAAAAAATAATTTATAGAACATTCATAGAGGAGGTTGGTCCTAAGATGGGCCTTGAAATATAGTACTGAAATGTGCATTCCAAGCATGGAGTTTTATATGAGTGACGCAATAGAAGTGGGATTTTATGGAAGGCAACGAGAAGATTGCCTTTAACTGGAGTGAAGAATTTATGTAGAAGACCAGTAGGTGATATGTTTGGAAAGGTATATTGGTGTTATGTAATTAATAATTTTTACCCCAAAGGCCTATCCCTTTGTAATAAATAATAATATTATCTAATGGGTTTTGGTCATTGTTTATTTAGAATGATTCCTTTCTTCTCTTGCCATACTGTCTTCACATAGCCCATATCAATATTAATCATTTCTCTGTTTAGGACAGCATAATTTAGGGCTAAGTACTCAGTTGAGTAATGTCAGTGCAGTGACAATGAGGGTAAGTCTTATAAATGTATTTAAATATCTGATATTTTGTGTGTGAGAAAATAATTAAATATTCATTTACTCATGCCAGAGTTTATCAAACCCTTATTGAGTGATTATGAGTGACATATATAATTCTGGAACTTGGTAATACATATCAGACAAACTGCTGCTTCCTGAAGTCTATAATTTTAACAGGGAAGTAATTAATCAAATTTAGTACAATATAGTTGATGAAATGATATATTAGAGTGATGATAGAATGTTCACTAGTAGCCTGGTAGAGAGTTTTTAGAGGGAATAGGGAATATAATGAACCTGATCTAAAGAAGAATTCAGTAAGTACTTATTAATAAAAAGAGTGGGGAAAAACATTCTAGGTAGAGACAACCACACATATAAAGACATTGAGGTGTTTATTAGCATGATATGGTCAGGGAGGAACAAAGCTCTTTGGGATGTTTGGGTATAGAATCAAAGGCAGAATAGTATGAATAGAGACTGGAGAAGGAGGTAGGGGCTAAATTTTGGAAAGTCTCGACAGCATGCAAATATTTTTGAATGTATTGGATGGAAGTGAAGACATTCGATGTTTTCATGTTTTAATTTGGTAATCAATCTAAGCATCACTGCGACTACTTAACAGTTTACCTTTAAGGAATTAAAAAAACAAAATTCTGCCAGTGACAGTATGTTTATAACATAATTTTCCAGATAACTAAATCCTTTAAATGCCAATACTTTTACATTTTTCTTTGTTTTTCTTCTGAAACAGGGTCTTGCTTTGTTGCCTGAACTAGGTCACAGCTCACTGCAGCCTCAAACTCAGTCAAGTAAGCCTCCTGCATCAGCCTCCCAAATAACTGGGATAACAAGCTTTTGCCACCATGCCTGGCTAATTTTTAAAAAATTATTTGTAGAGATAGGATCTCACTATGTTGCTCAGGCTGGTCTTGAATTCCTGGTCTCAAGCAATCCCCCCACCTGGGCCTCCCAAAGTATATGATTACAAGTGTATACCTGGCCCATTTGATAGATTTTATATTAGTGTTTCCAATATGTTACTCCTTCTTGTTTTTATTTAAGTTATAGAATATTTTATGATCAGGAAATATTGAGAAAAGGATAATCACCTTGAAAATTCTAACTCTAATATTAATATTCTGTTAATTTTTGTATAGCTTCTTTTAGTATTAAATCATATATGTTTATGACTTTATACATTTGTATATAATTTCACATAGCTCACAGCTGTACTTATAATTCAGCTTTATATTTTGCTATTTCCTATCATAGTTATAATATATGGTCATGCTTAATTCTTGCTATATATAAAATCTGTATAATTAGGATATCTATACATAGTACGTGTGATATGGAAACCAGTCAGAAGCTGGAAAGGAATGAAGATAGGAAATGTTACTGAAAAACATAAAGTTTGTTTTTGCATGGCAGAACTATAATAGCATGATTGTTGATCTGGCCATATGAATGCCTGTTTTTAGAATCAGTAATAATATGGCTCTACAAAAAAAAAAAAAAAATATATATATATATATATATATACACACACACACACATGGCTTTACTAAGCAACATAAATAATAGAGCAAAATAAGAGAATCCTTGCTTCTTATAGTGATTTTAATAGTAAAGGTATATATTCTCTTAGTTTTTAAGATGAAATGAGACTTGAATTCACTCTTTTAAGTTACTTTTAGAGCTGTGATGCTAGCATTTTGGGAGGCTGAGGTGGGTGGATTGCTTGGACTTAGAAGTGGGAGACCAGCCTGAGTAAGAGTGAGACTCTGTCTCTACTAAAAAAAATAGAAAAACTGAGGCAAGATGATCACTTGAGCTCAGGAATTCAAGGTTGCTGTGAGCTATGATGATGCCATAGCACTTTACACAGAATAACAAGAGTGAGACTCTGTATCAAAAAAAATTTACTTTTACAAAGAATTTGTTTTTATTATGAAACTTGATAAGTCAACATTTAATAGTTGCATTTTGGTAAATTTTAATAGTTAGTTCTTCATTTCCTCTTTTCTCGCCTTCAGTAAGTAATATAAATATAAAATGTTTTCCTTACAGAAAATTTCAAGAGCACTTACTAGAAGTATTATTCCTTCAATTCCTTCCTGTGTGAAGTCATGGGGTTATCTTATTAAAGAGGATGACAGCCTTATAAAATGTTTTGCACCTGCTGGTGACAGTACGCTAGGTCCAGCCTATTACAAACCTCAATTTGTAAGTATCATGCATTTCATAGAGACAATTGGAAGATTGTTTTAGTTAATGTAATACTAACTGCAGTAAGAAATAGACCCCCAAATGTCAGTGGCTTAATGCAATAGAATTTTGAGCATTTCTTTTTGATAAATAAAATTCATCCTTTTAGAGATTCAGGTACACAGGCTTATTCCATTTGTGTATTTATCATTCCCTACTGCAGTCTTGTCATCTGTAGCCAGCTGCAGAAGAAGATAGGGGATTACGAGTAGAAAGTTGTAGGCTAGGCTTGGAGCTAAAGCTCAGTCACATGGTCATGCTTAACTGCCAAGGATACTGGGAAGTACAGTCTAACTGTGTATCTAGAAAGAAGAAGAAATGAGTGTAAATTACTATCTACCATTATATATAATCATATGTAATATATAGATGTTCTTTTTCTGAATTTGAAAGAAAAAACATTTTGTTTATTCCATAATTGTCAACAAAAAGAAAAGGAGTTTCTCTTTGTAGTATAAAACATAGTATAGCCAATCTATCTCATCCAGAGTTTAAATTTTGTCCCTGGCCAGAGTTGAGTCACAGTTTCATTCAGCCAGTTGAAATATATGTATTATCCATGATGAATACAGATAATGAATATAGATGCTATGTCTGGTTCTACTACCTTACAAGCCAGTATACAATACTTTGGAATCTTGTATTTTTGAACTTTTATGAGAACTGAAAGAGGTAAACTTAGTGAGGAAAATGGCAAAAATTAAACATAGAATTAAGGAAAGGATGAAGAGACACTTCAGGCAAAGAAAAGGTATTTTTTTTTTTT